ACACCATAAAAGACAAGGCCCAGCATCAGAGACTGGACTTGCTCTCAGCACTCACTTGAAAGGCGCTTCAGCCACAGCCTTTGTGAATGTGCAAGCAAAGTCAGCCAGCTCTTTCCAGCTCTGCACAATTCGAAGCTGGGCTTCTGTGTGTAGCTGCAGATCCACCAATGCCTAGAAATCCAAAAGCAGGGATGGACTAAAGGATAGAGAGAGATGTTTCAGTTCTCTCACTGCTCAATGAGGCCATACTCCAGCCTGGATCCCTGACTGGCCCCTTTTCTTCTACTCATTGTTGAGGCAGAAAGTGGTGTTCAATGGGCAGTTCACTGTTATCAGTAGCAAATCTAGTCAGATGACCAGTGGCTGCCCAGCCAGACTTGGGACAACAGGAAGTTCTTACCTCTTCCAATTCTACCCTGACCACCAGAGGCACGGGGCCTATACTGGCTTCTGGTTGTCTCTGCTTCTTCTTCTCCTTGGCCTGCTCTCTATTTGTCACTCCCTGTTTCCTTCTCCTTGGAGGATTCTGAGCGCTGCAGCAGGGGAGGAAATCAAAAGGGACAGGTGCCTCACACTTAACTCGGGCAGAGGGAGAAGACGACTAGAGCATCCTCCAAGGCTTGTCAGGGATGCTATCTTGCAGAGGGTCCATGAGCTGCCCCCTTTAACACTAAAGTCTCAAGGACAAATCCAAACCTGAAGCATTTCTCCTGATCCACAATCACCAGGGACAGAGCTTTCCCTGCTGTCTTTGTGCTGATGTCCATTACAAAGCTCTGAAGTGCTTCCTTCCCGCTCATGTTGCTGCCCAGACTTCCCTGCATGAAGGGGCAGAAAGTGCATTAATGCATTAATACTTGCTTCCTTGTAAGTCAGCCCTCTGTTCCATCCCTCTGGCCCTGCCCACCTGCTTTAAGTTGTTGAGCATGGACACAACCACCTCTGCCAAGAGCACCACCAGGACCATTGGTTCCTCTGTCCAGTCCTCCTCTCCATTCTGCCAAAGAACCCAGCAGAGGGGACAGGTCACCAGGTGTGGTGGATCTGCCAGAGTGACCCAGACCTTCTGGGTGATAAGCCCACCCCCGTCAGCCTAGCCCATTACAGGTTAGCCTTTTTCTTCTAGAGTGAAGTCACAGTGGCAAGAAACAAGCCTTGGTTCCGCCCCTCCCCAGCCGTCAGGTGTTTAACCTTGGTGGACTGCATCTAGAGGCAGTAAGAAAGGGACAATAGCATGAAGAAATGGGCTGAAAAGTAACTGTCAATTTTTTCCACACATTTTAAATAAGGAATAGAGTGAAAAGAACTCAAAGGATTTGGTACAAATAAGTAAGTCTATCTTTGAAAGTAGAAGCTAACCATGAGTGGCCCTTACAAACATACAGGTTTTGTGTGACAAAGAATCCAAGGGAAAATTTCAGTCTGTGAGGGCACTTTCTTGTCACCATAGAAATGGCACAATCAATCCTAAAGCACTGGAGCATTATGGAATAACTGGGGAGCAGAGCTTTCTGAAAGTATTCCCAATTGGGTCCCTATAAGCAAAAGCCAAGAACCATGATACAGTGTAGGGTGAGAGAAATCCCAGGTTCAGCCATTAGGAAACTGTGATCCTGAATAAAGCTTCTAACTTTCCTGAGCCTGTTTGCCCACTTGCAACGTGAGGCTAAGAATTCCTGCCACATCTCCCCTACAGGACCAGGGAGGCTGAAACACAAGAGAAAATGTGGAAGTGCTTAAAAAGGGTAAGTTGCCATGTGAATACAAATGTTTGACAATACACTCAAATAAAAAATAATGCAAAAGGCACAAAAGCCAAGAGAGGAAAAAATCCTCATGTCTCACACGTTGTTGTTGTTACGTGCCGTTGAGTCAGACCCGACTCATAGTGATCCCTCCTTGGGTTTCCGAAGTGGTATCACTATGGAAGTAGATTGCCCAACCTTCCTTCTGAGGAGTGGCTGGTGGGTTTGAACCGCAAGCCTTCTGGTTAGCAGTCAAGTGCCTTAGGCACTACGCTACCAGAGCTCCCAGTCCCATGCATAGACGCCTGAAAATGAGGGGTGGAGCACTTTGGATTTGCAGATGAGAGGACTGAGAGGCACGGGGGCAGTAGTAACCTGGGGAGCCCAGGTCAGGAAGAATACTTACTAGGTGCCTATGAGGTGCCCAGTCCTGGGTTATCTCATTTAGTCCCCACAAAGTGGAGACTGAAAAGGAAGTAACAAGTGTCCTCATTTAAACGTGAGGCAACTGAGGCTCAAAGAGATGAAATAACTTGCTCAGGGTCATGGTATAAAACTATGAGCTACAATTGAAATGCAAACTCATCCAATCCCAAAGCCCAGTTAGAGAAACGGGGATCCTGTGCAGATTACTCTCTAGCCACAATTCCACTCTCCACTTGCCCCACTCTGCTGCTTGAGGACACCGATTCCTCTGGACCACTAGGTCACCTGCCAGCCCATCTGCTGGCTTCAAGTGGGTGTGGCCAGTGAGGAGTCCCAGGAAGAGGTGGGAAGGAGGAGAGACAAGTCATGGTATTTCTTTCCCTGGCTCCCTTCCAATAAGATGGCTTTGCTACACCCCTCTACTGGAAGTCAAAGCTTCTCTTAAGGGGTAATAACTCCCTCCCCTCATCCTTTCAGGCTTAGGGATGGCAACAGTTACGCTGTGATCATCAACCAGGGGTGATTCTTTTCCCCTCAAGGGATATTTGACAGTATCTGGACACATCTTGGAGGCATAGTGGACAAGAGACTTGACTGCTAACTGGAAGGTCAGTGGTTCAAACGCATCAGCCACTCCACAGAAGGAAGATTGGGTGATCTACTTCCATAAAGATTTACAGCCTCGGAAATCCAAAGGGGTCGCTGAGTCGGAAATGACTTGATGGCAGTGAGTTTGTTGTTTTTTGTTTGTTTGTTTCTCTGGACACATCTTTGTCACAACTGGGAGAGGTGCTACTGGCATCTAGTGGGCAGAGGCCAGGAGAGCTGCTAAACATCTTGCCATGCACAGGATGGCAGGGTCTACAATGTCAGTAGTACCAAAGGCTGATTAAGCCCTGAGTTACGCTGTTATCACTCTGAAGCACTGTACTGTCACTTGTCATTTCTTTGTACCCTGCCTATACCTTGGAAAACAGTCCCTTTATTAAATCCTCCTCCAATTATCCTAAGCTGAGCAGGCCATCTGTTTTCCTGCTGGGGCCTGATACCTAGCCTTTAAAATAAAAAGCATGTTTACTCTATAACTATAACTCAAAGGCAAGGAGAGATGTCAGCCAGAAAAACCCTACCTCAGACAGCCCAGCCCTTCTCCATGTGATGCTGTGAGGCACAGCTTGTGCCTCAATCACACAGCTGCACTCCATGGACTGCAGCGCCCCGAGGAGCTGGCCCCCACCTTCCATCTGTAAAAGCACTGCAACAGATGGGAGAGGGGCTGTCAGTGGGTGGTCCAGAAAGCAGAAAACTGCACAAAGGGTGAGGAAACATGCAAGGAGGACCTGGATCCAGCACGGCAGCAATGTGCTTTAAGCATTCCTCTGGCCTCTGGGCTTTCAGCCTATTCGCCTGTGCAGCCTTCTTCTTCCTCTCCTGTTGCCTCAGGGTGCTTTCCCTCTGGTTCTCCTGTCCCCGCTGCTGGCATCCCTGCCAGTCTCTTCCCCGGGCCTTCCAACTGTGCTTGGTTCTCTTCTGAAGCAGGCAGGCATCAGAATTTGTTTCTGTTACTGTCAAGCTGGTAGGCTGGTAGGCTGGAAGCTGATGGCATGGATTGTCTAAGATAGGATCCTTGGTATCTGAAGCACTTCTCTCTGAGGTATCACGGAGGGGAACAGTGGGGATCTTTGGAAAGGGATGTTTTTTCCAGTCACATAATGCTCCTTCATTATTTTGATGATCCGAGACACTTTTAATTGGGGATTTAGAGTCCTCAGGGCTCAGCTGCTTGTCGGTCAAAAACTTACACTTGATCCTCTCAGCCAGGGGAATAAATTTCTCTTCATCTTCACTTTCACTGCTCAGCATCCTGACTGGCTCTGCTTGTGTGACAGTTTCCAACATGTCTGGAACAGGTGGTGGTTCTTTCCACCCTGGTAATACAGGGTAGGAGACCTTGGAATCTGACATGTTAATCACTACAATCTTCTCCTCCCTCTGAGGCTGCCTACTCTTTGTTGAAGATGGTTCATTCTTCAAAAAGGCAAATGTTGGCAACTCCTCAAAATCACTCTCACTGGAATCCAGTAAGAGAGATGATTTCTTTAGAGCCATCAATATGTGCTATCAAATTAATTACCTAAAAAAAAAAAAAAAAAAAAGAGAGAGAGATGAGACAGACTATGGCATTCAATTCAGTCTACCTAATGTGTTCTACGGGAGCTCTGGTAGCATAGTGGCTAAGACACTTGCCTGCTAACCAGACGGCTGGCGGTTCAAACCCACCAGCCACTCCT